TAATTTTTTAAATGATCAAAAAGCATCTGCTTTTTATTATTACCAGGTGCCTGAAATCGTAAACAATGCCAGAGATAAAATATGCCTCCTTCCTCCCCCAAAAATCTTGGTTGGTCTAAGTTCAGAATAATTGCTAAGGTTACTATGGAACTTATGTAATATATAAGTTTGAAATGTTTAGGCTGAGCCCCACACATTAATTTCAAAAGAAAGCTTGTGACAGTTTGAAATTTGGGCCCAGTTCCTGCCTCCAGCCCCGTTGCACTACATATTCCAGCATTTAAACAGTAGATTTGGAATAAACAAGGATAGCACAGTGACTGTAAAGCAGGGAAAACAGAAGTTGAGATCATTCAGTTCTGTCATTCTGTGGAACCACCTAAAGTTTCTATTTTGGTTTAAAATGTAAAATACTGAGACAGGTACAAAATGTGAAGTATAATATCTTTGTTTGGTAAGTGAAAAATTTAGTGCAGATGTCAACTATTACTGAGTTTGAATAACATTTTTAAAAATAAAATGAATTCTAACCAGGCATGGTGGTGAGCACCTATAATCCCAGCTTCTCAGGAGGCTGAGGCTGGAGGATCGCTTGATCACTTGAGCTCAGGAGCTCAAGGCTGCAGTGAGCTGAGATTATACCACTGAATTCCAGCCTAGATGGCAGAGCAAGACCTCGTCCCTAGAAAATAAGTAAATGAGTAAAATGAATGATTCTGATGTGTCAATTGTTTTAAAACCAAAGGTTGTTTCTGATTGTTATATAGTTATTACTCAAAATAATTGTGTTATCTAATTGAGGGAGGCAATGTTAAATGATCTTCTCCAAATGTCTAATATGCTAAGTACACCACTGTTTTTGTTACACGGTAACATATGAAGGTTAGAAGAAGCTCTTCTTGCTCACTCCTGATATTTCCTTTTACTTGGAGTAGTCTTCCTTATTATAAAATCTAAACATTTCCCCAGCCTCTTTTGCCCCATCTCAACCCTCCCCTCCCCTGATCTCTGCACTGCTTGCAGAGAGGAGCTTATAGATAAGGATTTGAGGACAGGTGTACAAAGCTCTACAATTGTTTCTTTTCCTCACTGAGCCAGGTGACCTACAGAGAACTCACGCCTATCGTCTTGGCAGCAAATTGTACAGAAGTAGGTTTTCCCAAGAAGGGGGCTTGTGCTGGCCAGGATGGAGTAGCAGGTCTTTGTTATTCTGTCTATTCAGGCTACATCCTCCAGTGTTAGCTTTCCAGTAATAAAAGTGGCATTTTGGTCTCACTTCTGTTTATTTCTTTGTCTTATTTCTTAATGAAGATTTCTGACACAGAACTCAAGCAAAAGAGTTGCGATTAGACCCCTCATACCCTAACAATCAGGATGATGATAATGACGCTAACAATAACTTTGTTCAAAGCCATCAATGTTTTGAATAGTTACTGTGTCAGGCACTGTGATGAATTTAAATGTATGATCTGACTGAATCTCCCTGATGCATCTATGTGGCAGTTTCCATTGTTGTCTCTATGTTACCGATGAGAAAACTGAGGTTTAATGACTAACAAGCATGCCCACCATGACGCAACCAGCAAATGGTGGCAGAGGACTTGAACTGGCTTGATCAATTCAGAGCCCAAACACTTACCCACTACATTGTTTTGCTTAATGGTGGGAGAAAACTTCTTTATGGACCCTACTGGTTAAACTTAGAACTAATGTTCTCAGGATTCCTTGGGCCTCCAGCTGTTGAGGATAGGAAAAAGGCTCATGTCCTCTTGCTTCTGTGTTCTGTTGATTTGCTCTCCCTCACCTTTCCCCAAGTGACAAGTACAGGAGATTTAATTTGGAGATGGTTTCCATGCTGTAAACACGGAGCACAGCATTCTGGTCGAGCCCAGCTCTGTGGCCCCACCTTTGCTGGTCATCTTGTCTAAAAGTCTTGCCTTCCAACTTGACTTGGCACTTCCCCACACTAGGACTGCCAGCTACAGTATCTTCAGCCTGAAAGGGGCCAGGGCAGCACATACTGCTACAAGGTGACAAACTCAGCTCACGCCAAGCCTTCTTGGCAGAACCTGCCACCACTTTGTGGTGCAATTTCAGGAGCACTAGAATATGCCAATCTGCTTCTACCCAAAAAGTACCTTTCCCTCCCCCCATTCAACTGGCTTATCTTGGGGCCTGAATTTCCACCATTATAACTGTAACCCTTGGATGTAAGACATCATCCCACATTAAAAAGCAAGATGTTCAATGAAAAGTCACACTCTAAGCCTCAGTTTCTTCCCACACAGTGGGAGTATACACAATACCCACTTCAAAGGGTTGATGTGAGAACTAAAAGAGATCATACATGTAACAAACTTTATGTTTTGTTCCTGGCACACTACACATATACAATAGATATTAGCAGTTACCATATCATCATCACTAAATTTGGATGTGTTCATTTATATGATTTCCTTTTTCAAGGGTTTAGGTATGGAATGTAGAACTAATCCCAAGACACAGTCAATCCACCCAGGAGTTGGGAAATTTGAATTCTGACTCTGATTTGACCATTCATTCTCTATGTTCTAGGAATGCCACAGATATTCTTTGAACCTGTTTAATTGTCTTCATTCTCCTCATCATTGTTACATAAATACCTTTTATTTCTACAACCTTTTTTGGTCCACAGAGCTGTTTGATATTCCCTATCTTATTTAGGCTTCCCAGTAAACCTAGAGAGGGGCAGACGTGGTATTTGAGGCTCCAAGGATGGAAGAGACTTCCTCAAAGATCACAGAGCTAGCTAAGAGCAGAACCAATACAACTTCCAGCCCAAGAGTAGTTTGCCAGCATGAAAGTTAGAGAATTTCAGAGCTTGAAGAGCTTTCGAGGTAGTCTAATTCAGTGATGGTGACTACCTAGCCCACAAGTGCCTATTCTCCATTCCAAACCTATGGCAGGTATCACTAATTGAACATGAAAATAATTCCATCAATATTTCTCAGCACAGTGATCCAAGAATTTACCACTGAATCAAAGCTGCACATGGGACAGACTCATTGTTCTTTTCCCATCCAGACCAGAGGTTGGCAACCGACAGTGCAGACATATATTGCCAGCCTATGAGTTTCTAACATCTCTTAGTTTGTGATTCTCAAGCTTTAACATGCCTACAAATCACATCTGCATCTTGTTAAAATGCAGATTCACATTCGGTAGGTCCAGGTTGTAGCCCAAGATGCTGCATTTCTACCAAGTTCCCAGGTGCCACAACTGCTGCAGGTTCAAAGACCACATTTTGGGTGGCAAATTTCTAGGGGATGTAGTGGAGATGCTCCACCTCTCTGTTTACACAAGCCTCAAACTGATACTCTTGAGGAATGTCAATCCTGTCCCAAAGCTGTCCCTTGAGCACACATGTGTTGGAAAGGAGAACAGGAGAGGACATGCAGTATGATAGTCTTCTTCCTTTCCTGTACCCATCTGCACATACCTGCACGCATGCACTCACGCACACATTCAGAGACTCTTTTCAGGCTTTTAGGGTTATTTGTATGGTTTGGCAGATAATACACTAACCTGGGAATTAAGAAACCTGACTTCTAGCCTTGCCTCTTCAACTTTCTGTGTGATCTTGGCCAAGACACTCCAGTTTGTCTACTTCCTCCTGAAAGGGTCCTACCTGGAAGCAAGTGTAGTCTAAAAGCTTCTCACAAAAGTCAGCTTGCCACCTTGCCCCAAGATCCACTTTCTTCCTTGGAAGGTTAGGGGAATACAAATCTAAAAGGCATAGAGGTATGACTTGGGTGCTTAGCCAGTTCCCCACCAGGTTTGTGCTGGGAAGTGATGGATGAGCAATAAGAGTCAGAGTGTCTGTGCTTAAAGGACCACAGCACCCAGCCAGTCCAACCTCTTCATTGATTATCATGTTCCTCCTTGTTTATTCATCTTGTTTAAAGCAAAGGACCCCAAACACCTTTGCCCGAGAGCCTCAAGCAAGGTTTAGTAATTAAAATATACTTAGAAACTCCAACAAATCTTACAAACCATAGCAACGTTTTAATGACTCTGAAGTAAATCCTGATTTAAAAAAAGAAAACAATAAGGCTTATTTTCCCTGTCAACTTAAAAGTATCTTCACCTCAGTGGCACTGTGCTTACTGTGAGAGGAGATGCAATGACGCTGATTCCATGGGCTGGAACAGCCAGAGCCGGCTGGAAGTCAGGAGATCCAGGCTCCAGTCCAGCTCTGGCAGCATCAGACAAGTCACTTTCTGAGGCTGATTCTCAGTTTTTTCATCCATCAGATGGAGATAATAATAGCAAACATGTATTGAGTACTTAATATATGGCAGGCACTACTGTTTTTATTGTTATTTAATCTTCACAAATGCCCTAATTTATTTGTACCATTCTACCTAATTTACAGATGAGAAAACCACAACTTGGGGAGGTTTAATACCATGGCAAAGCCCCATAATAAATTGGTCATCTTTTTCTTTTTTTGAGATGGGAGTCTCACTATGCTGTCCAGGCTGGTCTCAAACTCCTAGGTTCAAGCAATCCTCCCACCTCAGCCTCTTGAGTAGCTGGGATTGCAGGCATGTGCCACCACGCCTGGCTGTCAAGTTGGTCTTCTCAACTCCAAACTTTTGCTCAAATCCCCTGCATTAAACCACCTTTTCTTATTCTGTAGCATTCACAGAATTTCTGTATGATTCAAGTAATAAGGTAGATGTGAAAATCACTTCATATTCCTAAGTGCTGTATACATATTGCTGTGGTTGTTATGGTAAAGCAATGAATGCCAAGCAGATAAATCTCACACACAAGAGTAGGGGGGTTAAACAAGGAGGAATTGGGGTTCTTCTCAGGGAGCCTTAGACATAAACATCTCTTGATTCCACTTCTCTGTAATCTCATGGCCCTAACTAATCCCTCACTGCCCCCTCGCTGCCCCAACACTCCACCACCACATATACACATATACACAGCCTCCATTACCTGCTGCTTACCTTCTGCCCTGGATATCCCCAGCTAAAGTCCACAGCAATCTCTGGCTCACCCAGAACCACGCAGGTCACACTGAAGTTTTCTCCTAGTTGGACTGATGTTGCTGAAGCTTGGATGGTGGGTTTGGGGGAGCAAGATGGGTCTGCCATGGATTAGAGGGTAGAGAAGTTAGAGACAAACATGTTGACTTGATTGTTAGAATTGTTGAATTGATGGCAGGTAGAGGGATGGAGAGATGGACGAATAGTAATACCCATCTCTTTTTATAGAGACCCTACCAAACAAGATATACTTCCACATGTCTAATTAACCCCATCACTTTAGAAATTCCCTGGGGTCACTCAGAGCTGACCTCACTCCACAATTTTACCTTTGGTTTTCATCCTTCTTCTCATAGGTGGGTAATAAGAGGTAGAAGGGAGGAAAAGTTGAAGTTTCCTTCTTTGCAAAGCAAGCTGCCTTTTAATCCAATTCTCCTGTCTCTCATTCTCTCATTACAGTTATGGATTTGGGCAGCTTCTTGCCATGGTTACACAATCTTCTGATTAAATTCTGCCAGCCAGCCAGCTCCAGTTTCAGAAAGTAAATGAATAAACAAACTGCTGCATTAAACCAAAGGAGAAGACACACCCTTGGGTACAAGGAGAGTTCCCTGAAGGCCAAATCAATTGAAACCACATTCAAAGGAGTATAGAGGCCTAAATATAGGAGGAGAAAGGGATGGCCTTATTCTAGTTGAACTGCATTCGAGAAACAAAAACTGATAGAAGTAGAATGTGGCTAGAACTTGGAAGTAGAGCAGATGATTAGGTGTAAGACACTGGATAAGCCCCTTTGCTCCTGCAAGGCTTAGTTTCTTTAGCTGTCACATGGCAGAATCATATTCCCTAGCAATTGTAAAGCACTGACTGTGCACCAGGTACTATGCCAAGCACTATAACAGTTAACATGTCACACACAGATTATTTGAAAGAGCTGAAGTTGTTTAGCCCAAGGAAAAGCAGACTGGGAAGGAAAAGTAAGATGAATTTAAATATGTACTATAATGTGAAAGAAATACTAAGTTTATTTTGTGTTCCTTTAGGTTTTAGAGTTGAAAGAGTATGAAATTACATCAGATCTCAGGATGAGTACTGGATCTGCCAGTGCCTCACTTTTTGACATGAGATCATTTATTAACCCTCCTCGGCCTCGGTTTTCTGGGCTGCAAAATAGGGATAATGCCACCTACCTCATACATTACAGGGAGGGCTCAATTAATGTAAGTAAATGGTATTAAGTACATTACACACACTGAGAGTTCAATAAATGTTTATTTCTTCTTTATCCACAGAGAATTAGAAATAATGGACAATTGCTCCACACCATGACCTCAACCAAAGAGAGACCTGGATAGCTCAAGGATTTTGTACAATTTACTTGAATGCAACCCTCACCCTGGCTATAATTATTGTATATTCACATGCATCTATGCCAAGTTAAATTTGGGACCCACTCCAAACTTAATAATTAGGATTCTCAAACACAGGAGGGTGGGGGAAAATCCACTCCTTCTATCAAAATAAATGATAGAGATTTCTTGTCCCTTATAATCTTATTAGCTGCTGTACTAGAAGTAGACTGCTTTATAAGGTAAGTTCCCTCAGGGGAAGGAACACATTCATCTTTTGTACCTCAGGAAAACCAGCACTGCGCACAGTGCATATGCATTGTGAGTGCTCTGTAGATAGGGCGCCGATTAATAATGCCACTTCCCTGTCACTGTCCTTTTTACTTGGGTATCCTTTCTCCCCATTCCTCCACCTTTACTCCTAAGAACAAACTCCAGAGCAGAGGATGACATACTCATCTCATTTCCTTTATTTTAGACGTGTTCGTGTTACCAAATTTATATCTGTAGCCCAGACCTCACCCATGAGCTCTAGATTGACATATCCAACTTTTTGCCTAGTCTAGGTGTTTAATCCAAAATAAACAAATACTTCAAAGGACCCCGAATATGCCCCCCAAAGAAATCTTAAGTCTACCTTCAAACAAATGAATAATAAATAAAAGCCAGCCCATCCCTCAGTTTTCCTCATTTTAGATAATGGTACAATCATCTGTCTAATTGTTTAGATTTAAAAATCTAAAATTCATTCTTGATTCCTCATTATCAATCTACATTTAACCCATCAGCCAGTCTTGTCAGCTCTGTCAAAATAGAGCCTTCCTTCAGTATCCACAGGGGATTGGTTCTAGGACCTCCCTCAGATACAAAATCCAATCCACAGATGCTCAAGTCCTTGACACAAAATGGCAGAGAGGTCCGGTGAGGTGGCTCAAGCCTGTAACCCTAGCACTTTGGGAGGCTGAGGCGGGCAGATGACTTGAGCTCAGGAGTTTAGGACCAGCCTGGGCAACATGGCAAAACCAAGCCAAGCATTACCATGCACTCAGTCCCAGCTACTCAAGAGGTTGAAGTTGGAGGATCACTTGACCCTGGAAGGTCAAGGATGTAGTGAGCTGTGATTATGCCACTGCACTCTAGCCTGGGTGACACAGCAAGACATTGTTTCAAAAAAATTAAAATAAAATATTTTGAGATACATCCCATCAATACGGACTGTTGAATTTTGTCAAAGGCCTTTTCTGCATCTATTGAGATAAACATGTGGTTTTTGTCTTTGGTTCTGTTTATATGATGGATTACATTTATTGATTTGCGTACGTTGGACCAGCCTTGCATCCCAGGGATGAAGCCAACTTGATCGTGGTGGATAAGCTTTTTGATGTGCTGCTGGATTTGGTTTGCCAGTATTTTATTGAGGATTTTTGCATCAGTGTTCATCAGGAATATTTGTTTAAAATTCTCTTTTTTGTTGTGTCTCTTAAAAAGTCAGGAAACGACAGGTACTGGAGAGGATGTGGAGAAATAGGAACACTTTTACCACTGTTGGTGGTACTGTAAACTAGTTCAACTATTGTGGAAGACAGTGTGGCGATTCCTCAAGGATCTAGAACTAGAAATATCATTTGACCCAGTGATCCCATTACTGGGTATATACCCAAAGGATTATAAATCATGCTACTATAACAATACATGCACACGTATGTTTATTGCAGCATTATTCACAATAGCAAAGACTTGGAACGAACCCAAATGTCCATCAATGATAGACTGGATTAAGAAAATGTGGCACATATACACTATGGAATACTATGCAGCCATAAAAAAGGATGAGTTCATGTCCTTTGTAGGGACATGGATGAAGCTGGAAACCATCATTCTCCGCAAACTATCACAAGGACCGAAAACCAAACACAGCATGTTCTCACACATAGGTGGGAATTGAACAGTGAGAACACTTGGACACAGGGTGGGGAATGTCACACACCAGGGCCTGTCGTAGGGTTGAGGGGGTGGGGAGGGATAGCATTAGGAGATATACCTAATGTAAATGACTAGTTAACAGGTGCAGCACACCAACATGGCACAGGTATATAGATGTAGCAAATCTGCAGGTTGGGCACATGTATCCTAGAACTTAAAGTATAATAAAAAAATAAAAAAATAAAAATAGCAGACAAAAGGCAAGACTAACTTGAAACTCCCACTCAGACAGACAGAACAGTGTGTGTAGACTCACATTGTAAACTTTTCTCCAAGAACTACTGTGGGAACATACCAGGAAAGCTGAGAGAATCTACAGACCCTCTGAAGGAAGGGGCTTGCCGCTGCAAACTCTGTGAGACAGCCGAAAACCTGTGAGTGCCCAGAGTGTGAGAAGGGAAATGTCTGCCCCCGAACACACTTCCTCAATGGGAAACCTGAAGGTCCAGATGACAGGAGAAGCATTTGACCTTATGTGGAGGTGAGATGAATTTAGAGAACTGAGCAAAATATAGGGGTAAAGGAAGCAGCAGGAAGAGCCCTGTGGGCACTATCAGTCCCCAGAAAAGCCATTCCTGACTTTGTCTCTCACAGTTCCTTGGGGAGGGCTGCCAGTGGAATTGGGGAAAGACCACAGGGCGAAGAAAACTTCCAGCTGAACTTTGCAGCAATTTAACCAAATGCAAAGGCTCCCTGGACAGAATCCAGGAGAGGAGGCAAACCAGGAGTGCAGATACCAGCACAGAAGCTACCACAGGCAGGGAGGCATAAAATCTGAAAGCCCTGCTTGCTTTCTCTGCAGGGAGGCTTATAGTTGGGGCAAATTCTCAGACCTGCTCACTGGCTGCCTGGAAATAAACTCAGTGCTGTTGTTGGGGTAGGACTCAGTGCTGTTGGGGGTGGCAGTTGTTGTGGCGCACAGTGGGAGTGAGACTAGCCTTTTAGGCTGCATGGGAGCTGGGTGAGGCCTGTCACTGCCGGCTTTCCCCTACTTCCCTGGTGACCTGTGTGATGCAGCCATAATCCCCCTGGGAATGTAACTCCATCAGCCTGAGAACTACCTCCCAATCCACAACAGCAGCCACAGCAAGTGCCGCTCAAGGAAAGTCTGAGCTCAGACATGCCTAACCCTGCTTCTATCTGATGGTCTTTCTCTACCTGCCCTGAGTAGCCAAAGACAAAGGACATAATCTCTTGTGAGCTCTATGGTCCCACTCACCACCTAAGAAACCAAAGTACTTATCCAGGCAAAAGCATCAGGTAACCTACAAAGGAAAATCTATCAAATTAACAGCAGATTTCTCAGCAGAAACTCTACAACTAGAAGGGATTGAGGTCCTATATTTAGTCTCCTTAAACAAAACAATTATCAGCTAAGAATTTTGTATCCAGCAAAATTAAGCTTCATAAATAAAGGAAAGATACAGTCCTTTTCAGACAAACAAATGCTGAGAGAATTCACCAACTACTACACCAGCACTACAGGCACTGCTAAAAGGAACACTAAATCTTGAAACAAATCCTTGAAATACACCAAAATAAAACCTCCTTAAAGCATACATCTTACAGGACCTATGAAACAATTAAAAAATGAAAAAAAAAAAAGACCCAAGGTATTCAGGCAACAACTAACATGACAGATAAAACAGTACCTTACATCTCAATACTAACAATGAGGGTAAATGGTCTAAATGTTCCACTTAAAAGATATAGAATGGAAGAATGAATAAGAATTCATTTACCAAGTATCTGCTACCTTCAAGAAACTC